CAGAAATTGTATTCCAATCAGGTAAGGGTTTTTTTTTTAATTCTAAACTTTTTCTAAATGTGTAGACATTAAATGTTAAAAACCATCAAGAATGAGGATGCCAAAACTATAACCTTAAGGAAATCAACAAATCTATAATACAAAAAAGCAAGCACTATTCATTAGAATTTTTTTACTTCATAGGCAGTACATTTTAAGTGTCTCATTAAGACAATTTAAGAATTCATTGAATAAACCTACTCTGATCACTGTGCTGACAGAAATAGTCATGTCCAACTTAACATGTTTTCAAACTGTGAATCACATTATAGGAACAGAGTTATCCAATTTGAAACACATGTCCACCAAATGAGAAAAAAAATAAGACTCTAGGATATTGCAGTTCATGAGAAATAGGAAAGCCATCTATAAAAGTTTAAGTTTTCTAGAGACCACATTAAAATAAAGGGAAGGAGTAAAATTTTTTATTCAATCCAATGAATCAAAAGCTTTATTTCAATATTCAATTGATGTAGAAGTATTACAGAGATATTTTCCATTCCTGTTTGAGGACTGTGTTTGAAATCCAGTGTGTGTATTTTATTTTTACAACACTTCTAAATTTAGAGTTTCCACATTCAGTTGTTCAAAAGTCACATGAAGCTAACGATACCCATCATGCACCACAGTTCCTGGAGTTAGGGTTCTAGTGTCTTCTAACTAGTTTGGGTATCTTGAAAGAAATCACTTAGTCTTTAGGTTTCAATTGACATCTATGACATGGGCATAATATTTGTTTTATGTGCTTCCAGAAGCAATAAAAGTAAAATAATAAATTTTAAAACAATTTAATACATATTTCACATTATTAGGATCATTTCCATTTCTATATCTGATTTTTTACCCTCCAAAATTAATAAACCAAAAATGGGTTAATATTACTACAAATAATATCACTACTATTTTTATTGTGATGGTCTTAAAAATAGACTATGTGTTTTCTTTAAATAACATGTGTACTCACACAAATTTCTATTATAAATGGAGTTATCAGCTAATGTTTCAAAAAGAACATGCACAAGAATTTTAATGAATTAGAAATATTTAATGATGCTTCTGTGTAAATATTGGACAGATGTCCTGGCTATGAGTATCATAAGCACTTTATTACCAAGAAAATTGGAGATAGAAGAGATTAAGAAGAAAGTTATTTAAAAATAAGTTAAAAATTTTAACTAATATCTATATCCTCTATATGTTCAAATCACAATGATATGTAACAATGCTACTGAAGCAACTGCAGATTTCTATTTGATAACTGCTGAAAATTAAGGGTTTTTAAAATAATTTATAAAAATAAGGTATTCCACAATTCTTTCCCAGATGTCTTTATATCCATTCAATAAGATGATGTTAATTCTTCTGTTGATTAGATGCACCATAAGCAAAACCTATTTAACAGAATTTAACTTCACTATAATTTCAGTTTTACATGGTTATTGGTATCTTGTATGGTGAGAGAGTTGGTATTCTTTTATTAGTATTTTTTCCTTTTCAAGCATATATATTTATATTTTGAAAAAAAATGTTTTTTAACTCATACTTTAAAATTGCACACATTTAGGAAGAACCATGTGACATTTCCATATATGTATGTATTGTATAATGTTAAATCAAATTAGACATCTATATCCTCAAACTTTAAAAAACCTTTCTTCTAGATTTTTTTTAAACACAGTACATTTTCATCATCTATGGTTGCCCTCCTGTGCAATAAGGCACCAGAAGTTCCTACTCCAATCTAGCTGCAACTATACTCCTTACTCAACCTTTTTCCGTTCCTCCCTCCCTGCTGTCTCCACAGCCTCTGGTAACCACCATCCTAGTCTCAACTTCAATGAGAGCAACTACTTTAGATTCCACAGGTGAGACCAAGTGGTACTTTTCTTTCTATACCTGGCTTACTTCACTTAACATAATGATTTCCAGATCCACCCATGTTGTCCCAAGTTGCAGGATTTCATTCTGTTTATAGCTGAACGATATACCATTTTGCATGCATACACACTTTCTTTATACATTCATCAGCAGATGAAGATCGTTTCTATTTCTTGGCTATTGCACATAGTGTTGCAATGAACACAGGAGGGCAGATGTCTTTCTGAAAGACTGGTTTTATTTCCTTGGGATGTATATCCATAAGAAGAGCTTCTGGATCATATGGTAGTTCTATTTTCGTTGTTTGAACATTTGTGTGTGTTTTCCACAGTGACTGTACTCATTTGCACTGTAACAAACCTCATAGAAGAGTTCCCTCTTCTCTACATCCTCACCAGCACTTACTTTCCTTGTTTTGTTTTTTTTTGTTTTTGTTTTTGTTTTTGTTTTTTGATAATAGCCATTACTACTACAATAAGCGGATATTCCATTGAGGTTTTTCTTCCTTTTGTTTTATTATGGTAAAAAAAATATTTATTTAGAATTAGCCACCTGGACTCAGTTTACATTATACTAACTTTGTTGAAGCATCTAAAGCATCAAAACCAAGAGCCAAACACATACCTTCTCTCCATCAGGACCACAGCAGGGCCACAGCAAGATGAAGATATTGACCAGGGCCACAGCAATTTTTTACTGCTTGTTTGAGCTGGTGCTGATTGCCTTAATTTCCACAACAAACACAACTGTGTTTTGTCTTCTGTCTTTTTTAGGGCTCAATGGTAGAAGCATCATAGTGAGAATGTACCAAAAGTAAAGATCAAGTGGGTCAATATTGTCAGGATATTGTAAGTGTGTGGAAAAGAGAGACCAGTAGGATGAAGATGGAAAAACTGAGTTATGCTTCTTTGTGAAAGTATGTTTTCCTATCTCTGTTGACTCTGTCAGAACATTGGCAGTGTGAGTGACTGCAGAAATCTTTTTCTAAAATTCCACTCATTGAGAAAACAAAGCAACAGAGGCATTGTTTTGTAGCCATGTGAGATTTGAAAGCTCACAGAACCAGGCATGACAGTCTCACAGGTAGACTGTGAAATTCCTATTTGCTTCAGTGTTCCCTCTGTGCTTACCCTGTACTCCCAGTGGACACGGTCACCTTACAAACCCTGCTCAGCCTATTTCTGGTCTCCTATGAGTCTATTTCCTACTAAATCCTCATCAACAGTAGAATCAAAATTCTTGCTGGGATTCAAACTTCCCTTGGTTTTGACTCATCATTTTCCTTGGAAATGTGGCTTTCCAGCAAATGAAACAAAACAAGCCATGGATATTGGGTACCCTATAGCTATTTTGCTATTGAAGATGGCACTCTTTCATTATGAAAATTCACATTCCAAAAATTTAAAGCACAGTACTAGATATGATTATGGCCTTCTCCCCTTTGGTTTCTTTTTTCTATTATGCTTTGGATCTTGTTCTCACAGTTGTCATTATCATCATTATTTTCATTACTCGTGAAATGAGCCATACAGCACACTCGAGCCAAGGAAACCAAGGAAACGTAGTGCCAATTTTTGTCCTGTGATCAACTTGAAATGGCTTGCTGTTTTGGTCCCGACTGAGAGAGATTAACAACATCTGAAGGCAAAATGCCACTGATCAATCTACTGTTAAAAAAATAATAATAATTCCCACAGGAATTTGTTATTTCTGATATATCATATTCCTTTATTTAAATTTTTAATCTAGAAATATTATTTTCATAAATAGATATTCTTTCCCAGCAATGTGGCAATATACAATACTACAGGGATTTTATTAAATGCATTTAACTTTACTAAGCATGCCAAGGGACCACTTTGTCTCATAAAGGATAAAAAAATTAAAAGAATAAAATCCAGTCCTAATTTCTCTACCCAAATATCATCTCAAAGATAATTTTTCAGTTCTTATAACCTGCAATGAGAAATATAGCAACACTATTTTTGACATGTAAAAAAGAAATCTAGTTGTATATTATTTATTGTAATCCATATAGCAGGGATTTTTAGCCTGGAGAATGGAGGCCATTGGGGAGACCATGGACAGAATCCAGGAAGTCCAAGAACCTGAATAAATAGAACTATATCCTTTTTTT